TAAAACAAGCAGTTGCTAATTTTCACAGGATAACTCTAGTCGTTAAATGACAATTTACTACAAGAAATCGTTGGGGATCCAGGATTCCCCAAGATGGCTCATCGCCGATTTTGTCATTATTTACACGAATCCCCCGACATCTGAGTTAATCCGTTTTTACCCATCATTTCAAGGTCACTTTTGATTTATATAAACGTTCACTTTATGACAGATCGCTCGCCTTTCGGCTGAGACGATTAGAGCTCTCTGTATGAACGTGATAAGAGATCTGGTGCCGTTTATCTGAGTGGATTTCTCATGGTTACGGGCAAACGTTCCAAACGTTGCATGTTTTGGAATGAATGTTATATTGTTCGCCACGGCTGCTGCGACATTCTTCCGTTTTGGAAATTTATTTTTCGACGATTGTTCGTTTTCTTACCTAGATAATGTAAATGCAAAATACCCACATATTAGTGGTTTAGCTATTTTCATTTGGCTGCAGATGATAAATTGCGAGGTGGTTCTGTCATTTCGTGGTTGTTAAGTGTGGATTGTTCTACACAATTTTCGAAAGACAACATGACGTGTTCTTCTGAGATTTTTTTATTGAGCGGTCACATAAATCCCGAAACATGGGTACTTTAATGGTAGTTTTGGTGGGGGGAACTGCATTGTTTGAACAAATTATTTAAATTCCTTTCTTTGGTGAAGTAGGTTTATTTCGTGAATTCTAGCATTGACTGTTATTACAGTCGCATAATTGGCCTATTTGGAACCGTCTTCTGAGTGCAAGTTTTACGTAATTTTATTTATGTGATCTTGACGTACTTTTAATTTTTTTCTTTTTCTCATGGTGCAAATACTTGAAAATACTTTTGTAACAAGACTGTTATAGGTTTTTACCGCCTAGTTTTGTTTACGAAATCAAAGGTGTTGAGATATGAAAGTGCCAGAACTCTGCACCCTAATGCTGAATATTGGCAATACGAAGACTGACATTTCGTACCAGAATTCTCCTGCATAACTTAACCCAAAGAGCTAAGGAACCAATTCATAGATTGTCCTTGAAATGAACCAATGAGATGGTCATTTTTAGGACAGGAGTCTCAACGTTGCTTTGAAAGTCCTTCGACTTGAATTGACTGTAGAGGCGGTATGTACCCACAGCTCTAAATAATAACAGATAGTGCCACTTTAGTGGGAATCTTTGTAAGATAGTAGTAACGCTGTCGAAAATTACGAATTTTAACTAGTCTGGACATTAAAGATTTTTGGTGAAATCTATTCAACCAGATATCTGTGTGCACTCAGAATAACTTCCTTTTTCTGAAACTTTGCAACAACATCAAGCCAACACTGGCAGACTACATTGAAGCGGTTCGTGCCTACCAAGTCCAAACGATTGTAGCTAGAGACTAGGCCTTTTAAAGCTAGAATGATTCACTCACTGGCAGATGATTTAGTCTGGCATTATTTCACCTTAGCTTTACTTTCGAGGCAAGGTAAACCATATGCTTACCCAATATGCGCAATCACCCAGCATTATCAGAATAAGACCTCACTAGGAATAGAAGTATAGCCGTCTAATAGAGCTGTACTATTTGAGTATTTATGAGACAGCCATTGCGATAAGTGTTGCCATTATCCGACCTGGTTCTACGCAATCTTTTACAACGTGACCATTTACAGGAGACACAGATGTTTCAAACGACCTCCTATTTCGTCTGGGTCATGAATAACCCTCAACATGGCAGTGACACGTGCGATTCGCACACTTCTTCTAAAACCTAAATCCGTTAAACTAGTCCTGTAATATATGGAACAAGGAAACGAAGATCCCTTATTTTAATCCATATAAACAATGTGAGATAATCTGCTCTTGCAATTCAATAATTATCACTGAAGTTACTTAAAATGTGAACAACACACAATCCAGTGAACAACTGTGAGGCAAAAGAAAATAGGGAATTTAAAAGAATTATTTGTATATTCTTGAAATCTATTTATTGTTTTTCGGAGTGAAGACAGCTAAACGAAAATAGGGTCAAAATAAAAAAATCGTATTCCTGAGGACAAGGATTTTGAGCACATTAATTAAGTTGCCTCTTGGAGGAGTTGTTGTGACCAACTAACGAAAGGCACCTACGCCGGCACACGTACTGGCAAAGTCTAAACACCGGCAAGCCAAGGGCGTTAAAGTAGTCGCCTTCGATCCGCTCGATTAGGCTCATACCAATACCCTGATAATCGTAACTGCCCGCTTTTCCCCTAAACAAACAAAAAACAAAAACGCAATGTATGTTAACAAAAGCCTTGTCGCTTTCATTGGGTCTTATTCTGAAAAAAAATAATTTAGAACTTTGCAAACGAAACCCGAGTTTGTAGAATTTATGGCGGTATCCATTATAATATGAACTATATTCAAAGGTATTAGCAGTGGAAAACGAGTTAATATCCTATAAACCTGTACCTGATGCCAGTAATGTGCAATAAAAGAGGAATGTGACCGACAAACAAGGAGTGGAAGACCGCCGCCCCCTGTCTCCATTCCTAACATCACCTGATGTAACCTTGCATAGTCATTTCCACGTGTATGTATCTTATAGAAATCAATTTTGGGCAGATCGCCAACACGCTTGCTGTTGCTGAAAGTGCTTCCTAACAGCCGCTGAAGGGCATGGATTACAAACATTACTTGCGAGAACGACACGCTTGAATATTGCGTAACAAATAGAGACAGAGAATTACATCCTTGAGTACATGACTTAAACAGTTTTAAAAACATATATCATGAAAAATAACTCCGATGTCAAGCTACAATGGAATACTTTCCATCAAACGATCACATATCTCTGAAAAAGTGCCTGGGGAAAAGGCGATCCAATAATTTATTTGTACTACCAGCCTAAAACGAACATCCCATTAACGGCAAAAGTACCAAAACTTAGAAAATTCGAATGACCAAAAGGCAGGATACAAAATCATAACTTCATAATTTCGATTAGACACATACTTAGAAGAGATAGATAGGGCATCGGCTTACATAGGCTCTTCGGTATTCACATACGCTTCTATCAACCGTTCGTCAAATTTCCCCATGTGTACAGTAGTCCTTTCAACAAAACTGTCATAAGCCAGTAAATTATTGGTGCTAGGATCCAACCACGCGAGTCCTACACCGGTAAATACATCGTGTTTTCTTCCATTAAGCCTTAATAGACACTGTTACTACTATTATTATAAAACTCACTTATAAAGGGTCGCAAGGGCGTTTGCCCGATGTTTTGGCTTCCCCATTATCTTACCTTCAAAGGAAATAATTGTATCAGCAGTTATCACGAGATCAGTCGGCTAGAAAGTGATTAGGTACAAGCAAGTTACATTACAAAGACGCTTCAAAGCTCCTTCAGATTTAAGCTTAGCCAAAGCTTGGACAAAAGCTCCAGCCGATAGAAACGAGGAGTCGTCAATGTTTTCCGAAACATTGGGATTTAGTGTAGTAAATTGTATATTCTGCAAATTAGCAAAAAAAGTGTACTTACACACTTCGAGAGTATTATTTGTCGTATTTTTGAGGTGCTTGCAAGGACAATAGAAAGGCCACGAAATGGTAGAAAAATTGACGATAGCATTACCTTACCTAAAATAAAAGAATGCGTTGATTAGTGTTGTTTATGGGTTCTAAACATTCATAATATGTTCAAACAGAATACATTTCCAAGGAAAGAACCGTAGATCCTGCATTTTATAGCAGATAAAATAGTTAGTAAAAGCATCGTTTAAGAAAATAACCATTACACTATGAATCGCATAATTCATAATGTGCCCCACAACCATTGCTAAGCCCTTGCGACTTAACAGTGTAGAATGATAAAGAAATTGTTGAACGGCCTTCTAGGTTTACTGAAAACCAATCAGGACTCACGTATACATAGTGTCCCGATAATAATAAGTTGGACATGGACGTTAAAAAGATTTTTTGAATAGAAATCAGGCTATATGATTCAAACGAAAAAATAAAATTGTCGAATTGGCGAATAAGTAAAACTTAACATTAAAGTGAGTGTTTTGCACTTTGATAGCTGATTTTCTTGTCCATAATTGAGTGCAAAAACATAATGATGCGTCAAATAAATGTCTGGGTTAAAAAATTAAAGATTAAAATTAAAAAAGCTGCCGTTTAACAAACAATACTTAGATATTGTGAGAATATTTTATGTCAAAAAGGGGAGTCGAATTCGGTACTAAACATTAAACAAAGAAAACAATTATAATTGAATTCTGGGCTTAAAAGCAGCCCAGACATCAGTAAACATGTCAAGTTGCAGACTAATAACATTTATTATCATTATGATAAAATACTCGAGGTGCAAACAACAGAATACTACCGGATAAGTTTAGATCACGTCAATAGAGCAATGCTTGAGGACGGAGTTACTGCCTGCAGCATTAAAAATGACTGCAAGTACCTTTTTACAACAAAATTTAGCAAATAATTCAAGGCGAGTTATCGAAACAATCAGACAGCAGAACTTACGCTGATTTGGATCTACCAATCAGAAATTAAAAGGGATATTATTTTAAATTATGAGTTACCAATTTTGATGATATTATTCAAGCATTTAAACTTCAAAACCACTAAAATCAATTTTAAAACTAAATATTACTTACTTTTTGCGCACAAAACGTTAAAAAATTCATAATCATACTTTTGCAGCAGTACTTTTATTAATTAAAGTACAGCTGACACATTGCATAACGAAAACAAATTAGTGATTTTTAAGGTTGCGTAAAATATTTAGGTAGTTTTCTAGCAAAATGCACCCACTACTTATCAAGCAAACAAGGCAATGCTATTAAATTTGAGGCAAATACTAAGTAAGTAACTGTAATGAGCTATTTCTTGCTTAAAAACAATGTCAAAATTATAACTGTGTTTATTTCGTCATAGATTGGACAGTCGACCTAGTTAAGAAAGCAAACGCCAATTCAATAATCCAAATCAGATTAAAGTAAGATTTTTGTGCACAATACTTGTTACCACCTTCATCGGGAGGAATCTCACATTCAGATAAGGTAAAATTATCTTTGCAAGCAGTCTCTATTTTCATATGATATTGTGGGAAATTATACACCTTTGGATTTTGACATGGTATGCTACATATAGTTTCCTCGTATTACTTTTTTGACTTTACAACGTTTGTTACCTAATATCCAAAAATGCAAGTAGCTGGTTGCAATAATATGTAAGCATTAGAACATGTGAATATAAGTCAATTTTGGTATCGCTCCCAAGTTATTCATTTATCTTAATGTTCCATCCGATTTCCAACGCACACTTGCATGGAAATTTTAAGTGGGCTTGAGTCTCACGAACCCAAATGTCGGTTCAGAACATTCATAATAAGCAGAAGTAGAACAAGCAAAACATTAATGGTAATATTTGCAATAAACGACCAAAGACAGTGGAGATAGCTACGCTAAGCTTATTCGATTTTGGAGACGAAATCCCTACCAAATGCAGAAGTAAAATTTTCTAGCCAATGAATACTGAGTACTTAAGTAAAGTAGTTTGGTTTGATCTAGTAAGTATAGTATACCCGAGCCCTAATATGGAGAAGACTGGTATAACATGTCTGAGGCTGGCGTTCTTTGATGCAACTGCTAATTAGAACTATGATATGCTTGATGTTGTAGGCAGTTACTATCTCTAAAGTGCAAACGTTGGTAGACTGACGTACGACAGACCGCAGAATAACCTCCGAGTGCTTGATAATGATGGAGATTCCTTTAGATTAAACAACATAAATAGCATGTAAATTCTTGACTTCCATTTAACCGAAACGTATTATCATATCTTGTGTCGAATTCTTGGCATATTCTTGATGCTCCATTAGTTGGTATTTCAAAAATAAATAAATAGAGGTCCAAAAAGGAATCAATAAATTAAGAATTAAATACTTACTACTAACCACTTTTACTTCCGGCTTATACAGTGCATGTGGGTAACATCAGGAAAAATCCGGCTAGAAACTTCCCCGTTACCGAAGGGAGTCAATTTCAAGCAATGATTTGCTAGATGATTGCTCTTTATTAATTGGAAGGGTGGGACTTAGGGTTTGTGATTACTGTAAGGTTCACCGTTGATGCGTTATAAAATAAAACCTTTAAATAAACGAATGTCCAATCAGTCAATTTTGATTACTAATATTGTTGTTGTTGCAATATATTCGGTTGAAATATGGTGTTTAATTATAAATAAAATGGTTGATAAGTTACCCAAGAAAAAGTATTTGAGCTATTCTTGTCACCCACAATAACGGTAAGGCCAATGAATACACCTATTAGCCTGTGGTTATTGTAGGCTGCTTATAATCAAGAGGATCAGCTTTCAGCCTTGGCCTGGATCTGTGGAATAAATAGCTAAATTAAGAATTTGTGCAGAATCGGCAAGAATTTTGTTATTTGATCTGCGATGACGATGAGCCGCCGTAGTCAGAGTGAAGTCTTGTTTCCAACTAGATACATGAATTGCCGCTCGTAAGTGAATCAATGAGACACGAGATCACCAAGCAAAAATCTAGGTAAGTTTTCTTTGTGGAGAGCTAACGTAGACATAACAGTATTTTTTAATGAAGATAACTGCGTGATGACCTTATGACGGAAATATTGATTGACAACTCCTTGGAAAACATCGAGGCAAACTATCTTCATCGTGGAGTGGTCTTAGGTCTGGAAGAATGGTGTGCCTTCCTAGCGAAAGTCTGATCATCGGAATCGCAATGCTTAGGTTGAATTTTATTAAAGGCGTAAACAAAAAATAATCACGCAACTTATATCTACTCAAGTAACTATAAACGTTGAGTGTCTTGGATGCTAAGCGTGACCAGCGCTGAGGTAAACAGTTTATATTAGTACTATATGGTATGCGGTTTCTGTCAAAGGAAGGATACTGGGGTTTGGTAAGAAATCGAAATTTACTCACCTGAAATATCGGATTGCTTTTGCGTTGGGGTGTGTCGATATACGCAAGAAGATCTAAGTCACGTAAGTCTATATTTTTCGTCAAAAGTTTATTTACATTTTGCCCTGTTAGTGTGTCTGTTCACACTGACCGTCTAGGTCGTGCTAATAGCTCTTGCTTCCACGTAACTTCTCTTGGCCAATCTGTCAAGTTAGCCCAAGACCTATCTAAATTGGCACGGTAGATGTGTAAACCTGGCCTTTGGATGAGATAAAAAAACCACGCTTTCTTAGCGTACGTTTTTGTCCTTGCAGTAGAACATGGTGCTTACGTCAGATAAGAGACTTTCGGATTGGCTCTCGGAGCGTTAATTTAGTTACTCCTAGATGCAACAGTCTAACAGCCAACAGAGCAGAAGCCATTAAATAACTGTGCTTACGAGAGGCAGTGAGCACTGAAGACAAGCTTGCGCTTAAAGCACTTTACACTCACCTGTGAAAGTGTGAGAATGTCAATTAACATCAAACGTGTGAGGTAAGTCCTTTTAGCAAATTTGTATAAAGCCTTCCCGTCCCAAGGCATTTCAATAGACCCAGCCAGAGACAACAGCGTCTGGTTTAGGGAATTGCTCACAAGGTTCAAGGAAACAATTAGTGTTTCGCTGACACTCGGGGTTTTAGTCAAACCATTGTGACGTCACCAGAGAAAGGATTTTATTATATTACTAACCAGGTGCTTTTGTTTTATGTGCATGGCTTCTAAATTCAGTGAATGCATTTTAGTTATTATGAGGGGCTCGGGATGACACTAATTTGTACCTCTTGTGGCATAGCTGCAAATTATAGAATTCGTTCTGAAAGTTCTGGTTGCACACTGATCTATGAGAAATGCCTTCAGTCAGGCTACAGACTTCGCAATACCAAACAATGATGTGATAACTTTAGGCTAGTTAACCGCATAATCTAAGTCACAGAAATAACCCAGTAACCTTGGACTGATATTATTCGATTTGACTATTTAAAGGCTGTTCAAAGGAATCCAACTACCTAGCAACCAAACCACCCAAGGGCTGCAAGACTGGTGTTGGGCCCTTTGTCCTGATCTTTCTGTTTTATCGGCAGTGCATCGAATTATGGACCTTAAGTTACTTATTGTACAGCCTAAAAAATTAAAAAAGGCAATTCTCAAAACTAATTAACACACAGGACTTTCGGGCCGGGAAAAACAACCGGCCGCAACATGTTTTTTTTTCATTAGCGCACCAATAGTGTATGGAAACGGCGCATTCACTAGGGGATGATGCCTGCAATTCCAGCCACTCTCTAAGACGTCGCTGTTCCCGCAATTTCAATTTGGAGGGGGGGCTTCAGTACTTTATTTTACCTAAGTGCGACACGAAAACACAGTGTGAATTTCCTTCCGTGGCAGCCGCGGTAGATAAAGGTACGCGGCGTCAGAACCACTGCCAAGTTTCATTTCATATTGCAAACAGGGTAGAGGAAATCTGCAGGCAACAATTACTGGTTGGTCACTCAACTCCTCTAATAACTTCTTCTCCAATGGCTTCATCTACAAGCAAAATGCAGTGCCTTTGTTAACTGGCGGAGGATCAAACGTAACCAAGCGCACTTACAGAGTAGAGGAAGGGCACGCATTAACCTTCGAACGTATCTCTGGTTGAACAGTTTTAAGGCATATAAATACCGGAAATGAATAGATTAGAAGTAATTCTGTTATCGTACATTTATGTTGCATATTTATATTCGTATGTCCTGCAACTGTTGTTCAAACCCTAACGCCCTCGGTTTCGTCATCTACGAGCATATAAGAGGCCCATTTTTAGGTTTCTCGAAGGATGAGAACTGCATTTTTGGCAGCATGCACCGTATGGTGGACAAGAATACATTACTCACAATCCCATTTCAGATCAACTCCTTACCGATGTATGAACTTCCCAATTGTAGCCGTTAGGGAATTGAATATTTTTTTCAGGACTTGACTAACCGCTGTTCAGTGACATAATTGCATCGGTTTAGGGGTAGGTGAATTTGGAAGTAGACAGCATTTGATGAATGATGTTTGCTTATGTTTGGTATGTCGCATTGGCGGTAAAGCGAACCAGGAAAAACTTACCATGGAATCAACACCAAAGACCACAACACTTTGGAACTGCGAGAGATCAAACTTCCACAGATCCCGACAGTGGAAGGTAGCCCTGTCGCGGTGACCTTGACGCCAGGCTGCGAAACGTGACCACCAAACGAGAGGTCTATTTAGCTCTACACCGGAGGCCGTGGTTAATGTCGCCAGTTTTTTGTCCGACAGCAAATACAGCACCTGTGAAGGCAGGGGAGAAGTTCAATGTGAAGTACAATAAATCGGCTGGTACCGCCATCGACATACGGGATGATTTAAATAACAACTTCGTGTATATCAGTGGTTCGTTGCTTGCACAAAGCGGACTGACCAACGATAGCTATCTAATTGTTATAATTTAAAGAGGTTCCAAAAAGTTTAGCTTCCTTAATACGCGAGGTTGGCAACATTTAGATTGATCTGACATACCACCAATACTGTGATTTGCCACGATAATCTTGTTTAAAGTGCTAACTCTTTCGGTTGAATGTGACGAGGCTTATACGGTCTCCACAATGCTTAACGCACACTGGAACTGTGTCGAAATCAGTCCGATCACAAAGATACGTGGAATGATAAAGAAGACCAGAGAGGGCAAAAAACGTTCCTAGATAGCCCAACCAAGATATTATCATTGAGTCGTGCGTTGCCTTTTTTTTACGTGTGTAATCATAACTTGGATGTGTGAAGTATCCATGAGTCATGTATGTGCTAACACTGAGACATCCGTGCTAACCCGGTGTGAGCTGAAACTCGCCCAAGGCCGACGCCATACTGCGAAAAGGAGGCATTGTGTCGAAAATGAAGAGACCGGACGAACGAGCGTGAGTAAACATGACGCATAACAACACATCATTGAGGATACCTTGATTATTTTAGATCTTAATTGATAAAAGCAGATAGAGCATGGTTTCTTTGGAATTCTGATTTCTGCTCATAGTAGTGGATGCTCACAACAAATAGTCATTGCAGTCGTACAAACAAACTGGTGGGCTGGCTCACTTGGGCGTCGAGAGCAAATTACCTGGCAAGCCTAGGGTTATACCTTGTAATGACCTCTGCGTAGTTGATGGTGGTTTGAGCAATCATGGGTCAGAGTAACCTTTTATCATGGGATACGAACTCACACTCCTCATTTCTTCGTGACCATCGAACCCTCACGATGGATTTCAACTGGTTACAAGAACCCATACAAACGTGATTACTCGAGGCATGTAATAATTCAGTTTGCATTAATGGGGCCAGAAACCGGGTGAGTTGTAAATGGATTAAGAGATAAAATAAAAGAGTACAAATAATACACTGGAAACTTTGAGTCAGGAAAAAATGTTAAGCAACGCTATTCAAAAGCAACTAAGAGGATGTGAATTCCAAGATTCGAACTCCTACCTTGTATCTAGATGTGAGTTTTCAAAATGTTGATCACTTAAGCATTTATTGCTTAGTAACTTACACTGAGCGATCCTAGGAAAAATCATGACAATTACACAAACCAATTTTCCGTCAATTCAACGAGCTGATCATAACCAAGTTACATGTTTGAAGTCAAAAGCTAACAAAATTTGGCTGCCTGAAGCGTAAAAAGGAGCAAAAAGTGTCTATAAATTGAAACGATTATGCCTACGCTAGAGGAATGCTCCATGTTGACGACAATACCGACACAAAATGTACTTACGACACGACCATCCCCGCTGCCAATGTCAACAAGACGTCCGATGCGTCTGCCTGCATGGGTCTCAGCATGTTGCAGCAACTGTGCCACCACAGACAGCTGCTCGGTCGTTGCAGGCACAAATGGCAGGCAAACTCGCCGAAAAGCTGGCGAAATAAATGGAATCAGAAGGTAGGTAATGGCAGACCCAACGACACCGACAATACAAGCAACACCGAGGCGCCCTAACATTGATCGCTTGTTTGGTGGGCTACCTCCCTCCCATACATTGTCCTCAGTCACTTTAACCTAAGAAGGTGCATACACGAGACATACATATGTTGTTTAATTGGATATGAATTGCTCCGTTAGTTGAACTAACTTAGCAGCATAGGCCGTTACTGAAATCCCAAAATTCATCTCACTGTAAGAAAAGATTAAATGTAGCTGACCAACCTAACGACACCTATCTCAACTATTTCGTTAGTAACAAGACTAAGTGTAGACTAAAGCATAGCTGATCTAGGCTGAACACGACAATGTGGGTCAACCATTGGTTTCCACGTTTTTTAAGAATGTTTTTCCACGTTTTTCCACGTTTCCACGTACGAAGTAGAATCATTAAGAATCATTTGCGATAGCTTTTAATCTCATCATAAAAATATAACTTCGTACCGTTGCAGCAGCA